TATTTTTGGACAGTAATGTTGATCCAGGATCAACAAAAGATGTTGATCCAGGAACATGTCTTACTTGGCAAAATCACGGCGACCAATGTACTGCATAAGGAAGATCTCTGTAAACATTTTAACAGCACACATATATTATTATATCTTTCTTAATAACGTGAGTCTTGGTAATATTTAGCAGTAATGATGGGTGTTGCAACCCATTTTATTTCATAAACCTGCTTCAAGCTATTTAGACTTCCCTAATCAAGATGTTTTCGCACTATCCTTTGTGAATTGCTTGCTGTGACAGATTTGCAGCATTCCTCCATCACCCCAATGCTATACTCTTGGGTGGTTCCTATACCAGCCTGGCGAGTACTCTGGATTTGGGCCAAATTCCAAACTCTGACTCCTCCACTTGGACAGCACGCCAAATATATGCATATGTTACCATATCTGACTACGTGTACATGTGAACTTATGAAAGATTACTTAAGATCATTGTCCTGATCGTTGTTTGTTTAGTTAGTAAATGCAAAGCATGATGCTCCAAACCAAACTACCATATACTATACGGTTACAATGAAATTGTTTTAAAGTTTGAAAAAAAAAGAAAATGTTTTATTGCAGCTTCATGACCACCATAGTGAGCAAGCAGATACTTAAAATGCTAGTATGACAGTCGCTTTCCTCCTGTACACATGCAAGTCATCAAGCTAGAACGTGTTTGTTTAGGGCAGAGTCTTAAAATTCACTCCAGATTTTCATATTGGGATTATTTTATGCAAATAAAAGTTGTTTTAGAGAAGGGTAGTTGCAAATTGATGGTGAAAGATGAGCCTCACAATGCTTCTGGCTTATAGATTTTAAAGGGATAGTTCACCCAAAAATGAAAATTCTGTCATACTCACCCTCATGTTGTTCCAAACCTGTAAGATCTATGTTCATCTTCGGAACACAAATTAAGATATTTTTAATGAAATCCGAGAGCTTTCTGACCTTCCATAGATAGCAAAGGTACTACCACATTCAAGGCCCAGAAACGTAGTAAGGACATCGTTAAAATAGTCCATGTGACATCAGTGGTTCAGCCCTAATTTTATGAAGCTACGAAAATATGTTTTGTGTGCAAAGAAAACAAAAATAACGACTTTATTCAATAATCTCTTTTCTTTCACGTCAGTCTCCACTGCACATTCATGAGAGTTGGTTGCATTGTATATAAAATAAAATGACAGTTGAACCACTGATGGTCAAATTTTTGGGGAAAAAACTAAGAATGAAGGTCCACCTCTAGACCTAACTCTTAGTGGGATGTAAGCATATCGTACGAAATTATAGGAGTTCACCACCAAATTGCCAAAACAGAACAAAGTTACGAATTGTTATGAGAGTGTGCTAACCATTCGAGGTGCGGCCGAACGAGCGTCACGCATCTTCCGTCACGCACCGCAAGTTGTGGAGAACTTGGTGCTAATGACTCACAACCTGCACGTTCTGACATGCAGACAGAAGAGTGGCAGTCAATAATTGAGAAAATTAGAGTATGAAAACGGGACTAAATTAACCAGATTTCTCAGAATGAAAAGAACGGAAGTATTACTGCTCAAAGAGAGGGAAACAATGACATGTGTAAGGACAAATCAATTGGATGATTTATCTACACAGCCTCTGGGTGTGTTCTTTGATATTTTCAGTCTTGATATTAAGTTGCTTCAGGACACAAATACCATCTAACAGGGAACTCATATTTAACACAGTGTTCATTTATTACATCAGTCTGACTCTTTGTAAAGCATGACAGCCTTTGATAAAGGCAAACACTTTTCAAATGTCTGCTGACAGCAAAATTAATACATTTCTGTAGACCTACTAGCAGTAGTAGTCAAATTTCCAATTTATTGCCATTAATTAAAAAGTTAAAAAAAAAATGTATTTGTAATTAATTATATTATTTATACAGTAAGCAGATGGTTTGATTTTAAAAAGATTCGTAAGTAGTGGAATTTTATTTAAAATATATTAATTTATTAGTGAACAAAGTACAAAAAGCACATATGCTGGTACAAAGAAATGTATCAAAGGTTTAATAAACAGAAGATCATCAATAAAGAGCATCAATGTGGAAAGTGGTCTTTGTCCCAAACTACAAGGGTGCAAACAATCACACAACTACTTAAGATTAGTGAATTATAATTGTTAAAGTTTCTTCTTGAAACATTTGGTGAGTATGGGAACATCATTACAGTTGTTTACTGATCAACAGGCAAAGAGGCAAACTCTGATTACAGCGACCTCGGTTAACTGAAACAATCCATACTGGCTTTGGCGCGCTCCATCTCATGGAGGAAGTTGTAGAACTGAGGTAAAGTCAGCTCTAATGTGGACAGATGCAAACAAAATTACATCAAAACCGCTGAATCATATACAGTACGTTACAACTTGTTACAACAAGACAATGGATTTGGAGAGAACTTACCCATGTACACATTTTCTGTCGTGCTTCCTTTTCTGATCACCAGTTTCAGCTGTGAGAAGAAAGAAACATTTTAATGAATGAGCCTGTATATTTGTCTAATCATATCCTAAAGCACAGATGTATGTTACAGATCAAGAGTTTGATCACTAAAGGAAACATTAGACTGCACATGAAAAACAACATAATACCAAACATTAGCCAAATATACCCCACCATGGGTATAATATAACTAATATAATATGCCAGGGGAGCCCTGAAAAAGTATTTTCTTCACATCTTACTTGGCAAAATCACGGCGACCAATGTACTGCATAAGGAAGATCTCTGTAAACATTTTAACAGCACACATATATTATTATATCTTTCTTAATAACGTGAGTCTTGGTAATATTTAGCAGTAATGATGGGTGTTGCAACCCATTTTATTTCATAAACCTGCTTCAAGCTATTTAGACTTCCCTAATCAAGATGTTTTCGCACTATCCTTTGTGAATTGCTTGTTGTGACAGATTTGCAGCATTCCTCCATCACCCCAATGCTATACTCTTGGGTGGTTCCTATCCCAGCCTGGCGAGTACTCTGGATTTGGGCCAAATTCCAAACTCTGACTCCTCCACTTGGACAGCACGCCAAATATATGCATATGTTACCATATCTGACTACGTGTACATGTGAACTTATGAAAGATTACTTAAGATCATTGTCCTGATCGTTGTTTGTTTAGTTAGTAAATGCAAAGCATGATGCTCCAAACCAAACTACCATATACTATACGGTTACAATGAAATTGTTTTAAAGTTTGAAAAAAAAAGAAAATTCGCACTATCCTTTGTGAATTGCTTGCTGTGACAGATTTGCAGCATTCCTCCATCACCCCAATGCTATACTCTTGGGTGGTTCCTATACCAGCCTGGCGAGTACTCTGGATTTGGGCCAAATTCCAAACTCTGACTCCTCCACTTGGACAGCACGCCAAATATATGCATATGTTACCATATCTGACTACGTGTACATGTGAACTTATGAAAGATTACTTAAGATCATTGTCCTGATCGTTGTTTGTTTAGTTAGTAAATGCAAAGCATGATGCTCCAAACCAAACTACCATATACTATACGGTTACAATGAAATTGTTTTAAAGTTTGAAAAAAAAAGAAAATGTTTTATTGCAGCTTCATGACCACCATAGTGAGCAAGCAGATACTTAAAATGCTAGTATGACAGTCGCTTTCCTCCTGTACACATGCAAGTCATCAAGCTAGAACGTGTTTGTTTAGGGCAGAGTCTTAAAATTCACTCCAGATTTTCATATTGGGATTATTTTATGCAAATAAAAGTTGTTTTAGAGAAGGGTAGTTGCAAATTGATGGTGAAAGATGAGCCTCACAATGCTTCTGGCTTATAGATTTTAAAGGGATAGTTCACCCAAAAATGAAAATTCTGTCATACTCACCCTCATGTTGTTCCAAACCTGTAAGATCTATGTTCATCTTCGGAACACAAATTAAGATATTTTTAATGAAATCCGAGAGCTTTCTGACCTTCCATAGATAGCAAAGGTACTACCACATTCAAGGCCCAGAAACGTAGTAAGGACATCGTTAAAATAGTCCATGTGACATCAGTGGTTCAGCCCTAATTTTATGAAGCTACGAAAATATGTTTTGTGTGCAAAGAAAACAAAAATAACGACTTTATTCAATAATCTCTTTTCTTTCACGTCAGTCTCCACTGCACATTCATGAGAGTTGGTTGCATTGTATATAAAATAAAATGACAGTTGAACCACTGATGGTCAAATTTTTGGGGAAAAAACTAAGAATGAAGGTCCACCTCTAGACCTAACTCTTAGTGGGATGTAAGCATATCGTACGAAATTATAGGAGTTCACCACCAAATTGCCAAAACAGAACAAAGTTACGAATTGTTATGAGAGTGTGCTAACCATTCGAGGTGCGGCCGAACGAGCGTCACGCATCTTCCGTCACGCACCGCAAGTTGTGGAGAACTTGGTGCTAATGACTCACAACCTGCACGTTCTGACATGCAGACAGAAGAGTGGCAGTCAATAATTGAGAAAATTAGAGTATGAAAACGGGACTAAATTAACCAGATTTCTCAGAATGAAAAGAACGGAAGTATTACTGCTCAAAGAGAGGGAAACAATGACATGTGTAAGGACAAATCAATTGGATGATTTATCTACACAGCCTCTGGGTGTGTTCTTTGATATTTTCAGTCTTGATATTAAGTTGCTTCAGGACACAAATACCATCTAACAGGGAACTCATATTTAACACAGTGTTCATTTATTACATCAGTCTGACTCTTTGTAAAGCATGACAGCCTTTGATAAAGGCAAACACTTTTCAAATGTCTGCTGACAGCAAAATTAATACATTTCTGTAGACCTACTAGCAGTAGTAGTCAAATTTCCAATTTATTGCCATTAATTAAAAAGTTAAAAAAAAAATGTATTTGTAATTAATTATATTATTTATACAGTAAGCAGATGGTTTGATTTTAAAAAGATTCGTAAGTAGTGGAATTTTATTTAAAATATATTAATTTATTAGTGAACAAAGTACAAAAAGCACATATGCTGGTACAAAGAAATGTATCAAAGGTTTAATAAACAGAAGATCATCAATAAAGAGCATCAATGTGGAAAGTGGTCTTTGTCCCAAACTACAAGGGTGCAAACAATCACACAACTACTTAAGATTAGTGAATTATAATTGTTAAAGTTTCTTCTTGAAACATTTGGTGAGTATGGGAACATCATTACAGTTGTTTACTGATCAACAGGCAAAGAGGCAAACTCTGATTACAGCGACCTCGGTTAACTGAAACAATCCATACTGGCTTTGGCGCGCTCCATCTCATGGAGGAAGTTGTAGAACTGAGGTAAAGTCAGCTCTAATGTGGACAGATGCAAACAAAATTACATCAAAACCGCTGAATCATATACAGTACGTTACAACTTGTTACAACAAGACAATGGATTTGGAGAGAACTTACCCATGTACACATTTTCTGTCGTGCTTCCTTTTCTGATCACCAGTTTCAGCTGTGAGAAGAAAGAAACATTTTAATGAATGAGCCTGTATATTTGTCTAATCATATCCTAAAGCACAGATGTATGTTACAGATCAAGAGTTTGATCACTAAAGGAAACATTAGACTGCACATGAAAAACAACATAATACCAAACATTAGCCAAATATACCCCACCATGGGTATAATATAACTAATATAATATGCCAGGGGAGCCCTGAAAAAGTATTTTCTTCACATCAGAGAGCAGTTATTTGAAATCGTAATTAGAAACTGACAATATTTATATTTTAGCTGGGATAAAAGGAGATGGTAGGTACTTTTAAAATATAAAGGAGGAAGATGATGACATAATTATTTACTTTGACAGTTACCTGCCATTAAGAAAATGCATTTTCTTTTAAGACGACTAATAGCACACCATCAGTCCCTAGACTTGAGTGTTTTGCTGGAGTTCACTGATTCAGATGCAACCAAGTTTGCTTGTGATCATGCAGTCTCTCATGATTCTGGTGCGGTTAGTGCATGTGCTAAGGTTCTCATTAATTCCTGCCTCATCTCTCATTTTAAATAAAAATAAAACTTCTGGCTCTGTGTTACATGAGTCTAAATGTCTTTAGATACTTAACAATTAGGCTACTCTACTAATCATCTCATTCATTTAAAGAGATACTCCACCCAAACTTGAAAAATCTCTCAATAATTACTAACCTGCTGTATTGTTTATTGGTTTACAGATTACAAAAAAATTTGTTTTGTTAGTTTTTTTCTTGCACACAGCTATCATTTTGCTTCAGATGACACTGTGTTGTACGAATCTTGTATGAAATCTCAGGTTCTGTTAAATTTCTTCACTCACTTAAGTACTGGATTAAATATTTTAAAGGTTGGAATATACACAGCTTCTAAAATCTGAATAAATTTTTAAAACACTAGGCATCATACATTTTATAAATGGTTACAGAGATAAACTGGGCATCATACACTGAATGTCTGAGACAAACTCTAGTGCAAAAACAAGTCTCTCATTGCTAGAAGATGCATGACAAATAAAAACAACGTGTTCTAAAATTTGCTCAAAATATCATACATGTTTCATATCCTCTGACTGGGTGGAATCATAGTCTGAAGCTAAAAAAGGTTTTGCCTATTATACACTACAATTTTATGTGAAATCTGTCAAATCTGACTGCTCAAAATCTGCAGACTGGAACCGACTTTTTTCAACAAACATTCTGTAGCCTAATACAACCTTAAAGGGTTAGTTCACCCAAAAATGAAAGTTCTGTCATTAATTACTCACCCTCATGTCGTTCCAAACCCGTAGGACCTTCATTCATCTTCGGAACACAAATTAAGATATTTTTTTTATTAAATCCGAGAGCTCTCAGACCCTCCATAGACTCCAACACAACTGCAATGTTCCCAGCTCCAGAAACGTAGCAAGGACACGGTCCATGTGACATCAGGGGTTCAACCGTAGAAGAATTGAAGAAGAATTGTCGAATAAAGTAGTTATTTTTGTTTTCTTTGCGCACAAAAATTATTCTTGTAGCTTCGTAAAATTACGGTTGAACCCCTGATGTCACATGGACTATTTTACCGATGTCCTTGCTACGTTTCTGGACTTGGGAACATTACAGTTGTGCTGCTGTCTATGGAGGGTCAGAGAGCTCTCGGATTTAATCAAAAATATCTTAATTTGTGTTCCGAAGATGAACAAAGGTCTTATGGGCTTGGAACGACATGAGGGTGAGTAATTAATGACAGAATTTGCATTTTTGGGTGAACTAACCCTTTAAATCTGATTCAGAATCATGTAAAGGGTAAATGTATCTTAAAATCAATCTCTTGATAAATGTTTGGTCAGACGTTTAAAAAATTGAAGAGGTTTACCTGTAGAAAAATGTTTCCAGTCTTCTGCAGCTCACTTGTACCAACAGTAACTGTAAAGAAAAATGCATTTAAATTACTCTCATATTATTTAATCACATTATTTATATTCTTATTTGCACTGTAGGTAATATAGATTTACATACTAATGTTTATCCATTGCTTACCACCAAATTTCCACTCCATGTCAACAAGCTGGTTGACCATTAGTGTCTGTCCCACGGCCAGTCTGGACAAAACAGGGTAGTGGATTCTCCACTGAAATAAATGGAAGATGTAGACATACTGAATCTTACAGTCACACCCATCCACAAACAGATGGAAACAACTAAAACACCAAAATAACTATGTTAAGACAAACCTGGTCAGAGACATGACTGGCCTTGTCTTCATTTAATCCTGTAATTAAATGGTAGATCACACTGTTAAATATTGACTCATGACAAATATAATCAAATGGGTACAGATGATGGGTATGAGGAAAGATGGTACCTAATGAGAGCAAGTCTGCCTTCACCTGTTCAGCTGTTAGGTTTCTTTTTAAAGCACCTGAGAAGGAAAGAAGACATTTAAATTGCTTATATATGCACATTATATCTCTGTTCCAAAGTCTAGTCAACTAAATAGTCAGCATTCTAACTGATATGGAACCCTGATAATGTACCAATTAAATAGGGGTGTAACAATACATTTATATGGATCGTTCAAATGACTAACCATATGATGTATTGATGCAAAACTTAAAAAAAGATGCAGATTTAAAAAAAAATTGTATACCTTTTGAAACAGTCTTTACATAGAGAGTACACTTGTGCTACCTACGCAGGCAGCTCACTCGGTTTTGAAATACAGCCTATATGTTTTTGTCTGATTTCTCAGATACATATTATTCTACACCACCACTTTTTTCCCCATCATTTTGTGCCATCAGTATGATTAGTAATTTGATACTTTCCTCTTCATTCTAATGTCTAAAAGCACAGGCAGCAGGATAGTTATTGCATACAAATGTAGCAGCATACCAATGCATACTGATTGGTAGGGTCGACCAGTCTACATGTGACATTAGGTCCAGATTCCCTGGGGCAATTTGCCACAAGGGCTATTTGCATATGTTAGGATCCTCTAGACGCATAATGCAGCAATTTGGTGTAAAATAAACTGAACAATCACTCAGTGAGATTAGGATCATAGCATATTTTGATCACTGCAGGGGTCAGGCTAAACGACTACATTTGATGTTATCACCAGGGGAAGGGACTGCATTATTCATTTGTGAAATTTCAGATAAAGGTGCTCGATTTGTTCAAGATGAGGGTCCTGAAGGATTTACCATGAGGTAGGAGGAGGACACTCTTCATCAGAGCCCTCAGTGGTCCTGCACTCATCCCATTCTCTCCAGCAAACTCCGTCAGCTGACGCAAGAACCGCTCTGACTGATGAGGAAGCAGCACAATATGCAACGTTTATTTGTGTGTGAATCCTGTTAACTACATATTTTCACAATTTTACAAGTTATCACAATAAACATTCACATAATCAGTCTTTCTTTACCGGTTTGTACCCAATTCAGACAAGACAAATTTTCCCTGGAGTAAGCAATATTATGGATACAGGATTTGTATTTTAGCCAGAAACAACGGTTTGAAGTTAAACATTTCTAAAGGATGGATTTGTTTCTTACAAACATTTGTTTTCTTGCAGAGCTGTTCACTTCACAAGACATTAATTGATGGACTGGAGTGCTGTGGATTACTTGTGGTTTACTATGTTTTTATCAGCTGTTTGGACTCTTATTCTGACGGCACCCATTCACTGCAGAGGATCAATTGGTGAACAAGTGATTTAATGCTAAATTTATCAAAATCTGTTATGATGAAGAGACAAACTCATCTACATCTTGGATGGCCTAAGTGTGAGTACATTTTCAGGCACATTTTCGGTTTTGGGTGAACCATCCCTTTAACTCTTTTGTTTGGTTCATGCATTTGCAGACACTTTTATACAAAATGAATTGTATTGCATTTAAGGTACATTTTTTATCCTTTCATGCATTTCCTGGCAATGATTTAACACAGAAATTGCTTTACAGAGATGTAATCTCAGAGCGTTGACTCACCTCTTTGGGTTCTAGAAGGAACTGGTATAAGATCTCTGTCAGACTCACAAACTGCTGCAATGGGGAAAAAAATAAAGTTGAGTAATTGGCATCGAATGAAGGTTGCATATGTGTACTATCTAGGTGAAATGCAGAAAATATATTATATGTATATTAATACAGACCCCTTTTAAGTAGTGGAGAAACACGCAGATAATTGCACACATCACTATTTCCATATTTTATAATACCAGTTCACAAAATTATGAAAAAAGGTAATGGAAGTATGGACAAATTATGTAGTCACATGAACATTAAATAAATCAAAGCTACATTATATATTTTAAGTTCTACAAATTTCCACTGACCAACTTTATGAGGTATATCTTGGGATGCTTTTAAACAGTTTCGAATGAGTTCCCAAGTACTCAAAGGTCTTGTTGGCTGCACTACCTTGTCATGCCACAGTTTCATAATATGCTGAAAATGTATTTAAAATTCTCATTATAACATAAAAAAAATCTTTAAACATTGTGAAGCAGTTTTTGCTTCAGATGTTGAAATTTTACAATAAAATTGAAATAAAAAAAAAAACTACTCATGCTACATGTGTGTAGCATCCTGGAGGCCACTGTCCTGCAGAGTTTAGCTCAATCCTCAATCAAACATACCTGAAAACCAAACCAAAGTCGAAAAGATTGCTTGAAAATTACAGGTGTGTTTAATTAGGGATGGAGCTAAAATTCTGCAGGACAGTGGCTGCCCATCCCTGCCCTAGAGGTACACAGTCCACCCACCAGTCTCACAAAATCCTGTGGGAAACACACACACACACACATACACATATACATATACATATACATATATATATATATATATGTGTGTGTGTGTGTGTGTGTGTGTTTGAGGAAAAAGATTTTTTTAATAAATATAATGGACTTAATCAAGGAACACACACACATACATACATACATACATACATATATATATATATATATATATATATATA